AAATTAAGAAATAATAATAATAATAATAATAAATAAAATTAAATAAATAATTCTTTAAAAAAATAAAGATTTCATAGAGGAGTAAATTATACACTTGGTAATTGGTATCAAGTGAATCTCTAAAGTCAGATTATAATCCTATTTTCTGCAGGTCTTTTATTGGATTTTGCCATAAGGTGTGTATGCTTACAGGAGAGAGAGAGACAGAGAGGGAAAGTGAGAAATCGCCCCCAGGGGGATGGCCACATTGTAATTTCTTCTTCTTTTGGGATTTTGGGCATGCATACACATGTGCCTGGTGTGATTTTTCAAGCCCCTAGGTCGAGGACTCAAAACCATAGTCTGCCATGTGGGAGTCCAGCACCTTCAGCACTGTATCACCTACTGCCCCCCCCTCCCTTTTTTTTTTTCTAAAGAGTCTTTTGCCATAGGGCGTGTGCGCTCACTGGAAAGACAGAGACAGAAAGCGAGAAATCAACCCCAAGGGGGATGGCCACGCTGCAATCCCTTTTCCTTCATTCTCCTCTTGGGATCTTGGGCATGCATGCACACGTGCCTGGTGTGAATTTAAGCCACCGGGTCTGGAACTCAAACCGCGGTTGACTACATGGGAGTTCAGCAACGTAGCCATTATGCTAACTGCTGGTCCCCCTTTCTGCAGTTCTTAAAGAAATCTCTTCACACATCTTTTGGGTATTTATTATTTTATAAGATAATTAGATTATTTGCCATTTAAATTACTAGAAAGATCACTGAACATTTTATACATACTATAATTTCTAGGGTTTTTTTGATCTTTAATATTGAAGTTCTTCATGTAATATGTATGACTGGTGTCAGTTTGACTAGTTTTTATATTTTTTAATGAAAGCTTTTATTTTTTTAAAATTTTCTTTTTATATTGACAACACACATATTTATTTATGTTTACCATATATATTATGGTAAACATGATCTTTTGATATATGTATAGATTATATATATATAGTGAAGTAGCTGAAGAACACCATTTAATACATGTCATACCTCACTTTTGTTGGTTAGACCACTTAAATCTACTCTTTTAGCAGTTTTTGAGTATATAGTGTGCGTGTGTGTGTGTGTGTGTGTGTATATATATATATATATATATGACACTATAGTCACAAAGCTTATTATTTTTTATTACAGGGAAATTCATGGTACGCCTTCCAACTTAAGTCCCAGTCATCTGGAGTCAAAGCGTGTGTACTGTATAGATGTTACTGAAGAAAAAACGGAGGGAGGGAACCGGATGATATGCCATCGAGATGAACGGAATACGCCTTGCTGTGATTTTGAGAGCTCTCAGTCATCTGTCGTCAATGATACAGTTGTTAGGTTTTTAAATGATCGACCAGCAATTGATGCACTGCAGAATTCTGAATGTTTGATTAAGATGGGAGTTCCTGTGAGTACTGAGGAAGAACTGCCTAATAGAACAGGAGGAAATGAAAGCAACTTGAAGTCTTCTGTGATTAATGTAGGCCATGATGTTGATCCAAAAGTGTTACGGCTAGCTGACTCTTCTCCCTCCTCCACTAGTACTTCTAATTCCCAGAGATTAGATATTTTAAAGCGGCGACAACACGACGTCAAATTGGAAAAACTGAAGGAGCGAATTAGGAAGCAGTGGGAACATTCGGAAGAAACAAATGGCCGGGCCCATAATCTGGGTCATGTTGACCATCCAGTAATGGTTGTTAATGTTGACAGCTCAGTGACAGCAAAAGTCAGGAAAGTGGCAACAGCACCACCTGCCCCAGCATATAGAGGTTCGTACTCAGTCTTTGGATCTGTCTCTTCCTGCTTCCCTGTTCCCCTTTCTCTCTGGGGTGTATTTGAGTAGAGAGAACTGTCTCTAATAGGGGATATGATTCTCAAATCAACTGCAAAAGAAATTATTTCAAGATACATATTAAAATTGCAGATTCCTAGATTGTACGTTGGATCTAAATCAGAATTTCTGGAGATAGGGCCCAGAATTGGAATTTTAACAAGTTCCTCAGGGGATTTTGATAGTTTGAAAATCATGTAATAAGTTGTTTGAAAAAGAAAATGAGAATTTGTACCATTTCCAGAGAACTGAAAGGATGTCACCCTTATTCTAATATTATATTTGTATTATTATTAGGAATTCTTTCAGAAATAGTATTTAAAAGTAATTCAATTTTCAGTGACTATTTGAGTGTTTTGGCACTGACATTAATTCTGTTGATATTTTAACATTTAACATGAAGGTTCCCCTCCCCCATATTTAAGAAAATAAATATTTTAAAATGAAATTTATACAACATTGATAGATTTTGATTCAGAAAATACTTTTCAGAACTAATTCCTTTTTTTAGTTAAGTCAGTTCTTTTATGTGGTTACTTTAAGGGGTTTATATTTTTCTTTTTTTTAATTTTTAACTGACCCTGATGCAAATTCTTCTATTTTTTTTAAAAAAGAATTATTTATTTTATTTTATTTATTAATTCATGTATTTTAATTTGACCAGAGAGACGGACACACACACACACACACACACACACACACACACACACACAGACA